CTTTCTTGTTGGCCCATTTCTCTCTCGATGTTGCCCCGTATCTTTGAAAATGAATCTAAAATTATGTTTGCGCGTGCCTCCGGAGCCTTCCTTACCTCAAGCCTCTATTCAGGTCCCTGGTCGGGGGGACCACGTGCCAGGATCGCAAGGGTCCTAAACCTGAAAAGGGCTTGGGATAGGAATGAACAAAGACACCTAGCTGAGACCAGAAGACTGATGACCAACTGGCCAAATTTTCTTTTCCTCAGCAAGCTTTATACAAAAGAGGAAGCGACTTAAACATCAAAACACTCTGACCTTGTTACAACCTTTCTGTTTTGATTCTTAGCGCCAGTGTCCTTGACTAAGTATAAACTTCTTTTCAGTCATTTAGCATTCCTTCCCACCATGATAGAGACATGGTGCACCTGCAGATTCCGACCTTGTCAGAGTGTGGCTTTTGGTTCCCAACAAGGGGACACACACACACACAAACTGGGGAGACCTGCAGGAGCTCTGTGGGTTGTGTCAAGGTTCATTTCCTGGTTTGGTTATTGTGTTACAACTACGTAAAATGGTACAATTGAGGGAAGTTGGATGAATGCTACACACGACCTTTCTAGACTATTTCTGCAACATCCTCTAAGTTTACAATTATTTCAAAAGAAAACATTAAAAAAACTTAAATACATCAGTTTTCTGTACAGTTTCTGTGTTTCCTGTCTTGGTTAAGAATATCTCTCCCACCCCTAGGTTCTATTATAGTTGCCTCTGTTGTCTTTTAAGATTTAAAAAAATCAGTCTTTAATTCATCTGGCATATATATTCATATGGTATGATGGGGTTCAACTTTTTTTTCTTCTAGGTAAGTTGTGTCAGAGTGTTTTATTAACTAAATGGTGGTACTGGGGTTTGAACTCAGGGCCTCACACTTGCTAGGCAGGCATGCTACCATTTGAGCCACTCCACCAGCCCCTAAGTAATCTTTTTCCTACTGACTTAGGTTGTACACAGAATCTTCTTCTATGTCTGGATTTCTCACCTATATGACAATTCTTGTTATTGATAATTTATTAGATCACATTGGTATAGTGGACATTAATCAGGTTTTGGCTGCTCCATAGATATATTTTGATTATTCTTTCCATTTGGAGTTCCCTCAATAGTTAAAATTCCTTTTCTCAATATCCCATTGCTTGGCACAGATCGGGCATGATAGCCACTGCCAAACGGTGCCTAAAAAAGGAGCAAGGTCAGGGTAGGGGCCTGAGCAAAATGTAGAATGGGAAGGATGGTGGAATGGCACCCATGCTAGTGTACTGGATGTAATACAGTGATGACTGCATGCTTAGCACACAGAAGACCTTGGATTCGACTGCCAGCACCTCACACACAATAAAAAGTACTGGTGGAACTTTGGGGATCCAGCCCCCAGCACCCTCAGGAGTTGCAGGATTTTCTCTGCAGAGGCAGACCAAAATGGTTAGGTTTTATTATTAACATGGTGTTAAGGACCTCCATCTCTGGTCTTTTCAGATTCCTTTTCAGCTTCTGCTTTTTCAGCTAATAGTCCTTATTGACTGGAGCTGTTTTATATTTTATTCTGGCATTTTGTTCATAAGGCTAGTTCCCTGCTCTCTCCCTCACTGCCCATTATATTTTCCTTACTTGATCTTTTCCAAATTATTGATTTTCATCACCTTTGAAATGCTTTTGAAAATTTCCTGGTGTTACTAATTGGAACTGCACTCAATTTATACATTAAACTTAGAAATTTTGGTATTTTTATTTTCCAAATAATGATGCAGCTTTTCATTTGCTGGTGTCTTTCTTGAATTCTATTTCTAGATACTATAGTTTAAGGTGAAGTATAACTGGAGTTTTTTTCCATTTCTTTTGTCAGATGCTTATTCTGGCATAGGATATTCATTGGTTTTTGGAGTATTTGCTACTTCAATGTATTCTCTTCTTAGTGCTAGTAACTTTTCTTTTTTTTCCAGAACTGACGATTGAATTTAGGTAGGACCTCTTGCTTCCTAGGCAAGTAAGTGTCTTAGTACTTCAGCCATGCCCCAGGTTCTGTAGCATTTTATTAGGGTCCCTTGGATTTTCTAGGCATATCATCAAGAAAAAAGTTAACTTCTCTCTTCTTTCTCAATGTTATACCATCACCTCCCTTCACTGAATGGTATTATGTCTAAGACTTGCAGTAACTCTGTCTTGCTGATTTTTCCAACTTTTAAAATTTTCAGACAGCATCTCACTATGTAGCCCAGGCTGGTCTTGAACTTGTGACTCTCCTGCCTCAGTCTCCTGAGTGGTGAGATGCTGTTTACCATTTCACTTGTTAGAAAAAAAAATTGTGATTTAGAGGCATGGCTCAAGTAGTAGGGTGTCTGACTAGCAAGCACAAGGTCCCGAGTTCAAATGCTAGTACCACCAAAAAAGAAAAAAAATTGTAAATGGCTATTGCATTGTTAAATCTTCAGAATAATGTCATGATCACATACCTTTTCTGATTTAATTTTGAAATCATATTAGATTTCCTGCTTTCTACCTAAACTTGCATCTTTGATCGGTTGGTAACACAAATGCTCTCGCACTTCCAGCACAGGGATGGCTCTTTTCCTAGTTCCAGTGGTAAGGCAGGTTTTCTCCCACTTTGCATTATTTTGGCCATTTCACTTTTGACTAGACATGGGAATGGCCACAACTTTTCCCAGACGCTAATAGCTTAAAATTACTATAGAGAATTTAGGAGGGAAAGAAATCATTTTTAATCCCATTATCTTAAGCCTCAAACATCACTTGTTATTTTGCCACAAACCTTCTTTGGTGTCTGCCAGAAAGCTCCGGCCCCTCAACAAACCTCACAGGAACCTCGCTCGAAGTGGGGCACTTGCTACTATTGGATTTTGGGAATGGCTTCCACCTACAAGAGAGCCTTGCTATGCACAAGTGCACTAAGCCCTAGGGGGCACTGCTCACATCCAGCCACAGTGCCCAGGCATATTTATAACTTCCCAGTACGTTCCAATGGAATGTCTCCAGGAAGGGCTGCTAATGAGGCTGCTCTGATACTTTCGGAGTATCACAGATGTTACCCGGGATCCTTTGTTACTTCTGGCACCAATGAAGGAGCTGTGTCAAGCTAGGCAGCTGGGAGCAACCATTTTTATCCCTGCATTACCCCCTTCATCTTGTTACTAAGCAACAGTCATGCTTGTTCCCCTACTCTTTTTCCCTACAGGTAACGTTCTGTTTCTTAAGCAGAATGGTGACTTCAGGTGTTCATTTTATTATGCTGTAAAACTTATGTGTTACATATGTTCACTTTTAATGCCCTGATACAAATAAAAAAGGAAAGCACACTGTTGTTAGGGGACACAATCTACCACATACAAACTAATGCAGGTCGAGTCGGGATAGACAAGTGATACACTACACCAGCAACAGCTGCATCTATTGCTAGGATGACCTAAGATGAAAGACGTTTTCCATGGAGAACACTGTGTGTCAAACAGGTCCATTTTCAGAGGGGCTTAACTCCAAATATTTGACTCTCTGTGGCAAAGCCTGAGATGGGTTTGGGATGGGGTGGGGAAACCAAGAAAAGTACCTGCCTTTTCACTAACTTATGATGTAAAATGATGAAGTCCCATCCCACAAGGAACTGTAATGAGCAATTTAAACAAAAACAAAAATGGTTTGTTTTATTTACAATACTCAATGCATCTTACAAATACATATTTCATTCCCTTCACCTTTTGGAAAGTAATTCCAGTTTGTGCAATGAGTTTACAGGAAAATCTTAAGACATCTATTAGACATCTTAAACCTAAATCCTAAATTTTGAAAGATATGTCACACTATATTAATAGAAGACTGTTTTTAATTAAGAAAAACTAAACTCTGTAGTTAAATATTGTCCTCTGGTATCTTTAACCAAATACAAACTGGATTAGCCTATGAAATAATACCATTAGATTTGGATAAATTATTCTGACCTCCCCTCCCCAATAAAATGCATGCACAAAGAGAACATGGCAAATTACATTAATCACATTTTATTCAATACTTCCTTTTTGGACTCTCTCAACTGTTGTTTTGCTGAATTCAGGGTATAGATAGGCAGGATTCCAGTCTGGAGAAATCTAAAAGTACTACTCCTGCTTTAGAATAGGGGAGGATTTTCAGTTAGCATGTGGAGGAAGATCAGGATCAGGGAGACTTTGAGCTGTTTCTCTTGCTTGCTAACTGGAATAAGGTTCTCCTCCAGGACTGGCAAAGTCTGAAGGGGGCAGTTTTAGACAAAGAGCCAATCCATATCACCATAGTATAATAGGCTCCTTTTTTTCCTCTCTTCCCTAAACTACTACCTAGATTTTAGTGCCTTCTGAGTTATGATAGAGACCAATTCCTCTCTTTAGGTAGCAGAAACTGCTGTGATGTCACACAAATAACTTGTGACCAGGGAAAGAGCAATGAATGTGCAAGAGTTTACATTTCAATACAGGCAAGAGAATGGGGGTTTTTACTAACATAGTTGCCACTTTAAAAACACAATCTGTTTGTCCTAGCTCCTGAGCAAGAGAGAAAAGAGAGAGATTATCTCCATACTGGATCCAACTCAACTTAGCAAATGTGCTTCTCCATCTCCACAATATATTTTGCCTCAAGAAATGGTGTCTTTACTAACACCTGGCATAGGTGGTTGAACAGGGAGATATTAAAGTCCCATATTTGACAGTCAAAAGAATAGTAAGATAAAGAAATGGTGAGGTAGAGTTGAGAGAGTTCAATTAAATTTTTGAACACAGACCTTTTGGCACATTCCAAAATTACAGACTCCCTATCAAATTCTCTTTCATGATACCTTTACAAAGTGCTGACAACTTAGGAATCTTCAGATCCACTTAAGAAACGTGAAGTGAACAGAACAGTCATTTGAAGAATAACACTCCTGGCACTTCAGCTATTATTTACCCCCACATTGAAGCAAATAAAAACGATGCTACCCATTTGCTGAATTTATTTAAACAAATCAATTTAGAAATACCATAGAATTAAACAAAACTTCTGACATGTAAACATACTGCCATGTTCCTGAAACAGATGTTAACACCTGATAAAATTAATAATCATTTGTGAGGAAAGCTGTCTGTTAATAAGGCCAGACTTCAGCAAAAGTAAAACCATTTTGTTCCTTTAGCTTTCCTAGTCTGACAATAGAATACTATTAAACCACAATCAAATGTAATAAAGACAACATTGGATGGATAGATCAGTACCATTGGTTACAGCTGTTAAACAGGTTCATTCTTGGCGCCACATAAAAACGATTAAGCCAATCACATCAAATAAATCATGGCTTTTTTCTTTATCACAATTCACTAAGTGATGTTAATTATGGTCCTTGTCAAACACATTTGGTAAAGGCTATTTACAGTGTACATGGCTGAGCATGCACTATTTATAGTTACAAAGATACCTGCCAGTTTATTACAATAGAATTACACAGTGCCTGAAAATGGTGAAACATTTCACACATCATTTAAATCAATAGTTTCAAGCAGAAAACGTTCCTTATTTGACCACAATTGCAATAATTACATGAAAATTCTTATAAAAACATGAATCCCCTTCAAGAAATTGATGCATATTCTACGCACTACAGGTTAAGGCAGTAAAAAAATGTATTCCTGATAACTGGAGGTCTTGACAATGTCAATTAAAGCTGTCTGACTCTAGTTTTTCATTCTTCACCATACTGAAAAGTTTGTGAATGATTTCATTTTTATGCCAAAGAATTATTAGCAACTAAGAGTTGACACTGGAAAATAACTGCTAGGGAAAGGGAAAATATTAAGTTGGATTTTGCCTGAAAATTTTCAAATCATAAACAAGAGCATTACTTGTTAGTCTGAGCTTTAAGTGTATAAAACAAATACATATAGTTTACCTTTCTTAATTTAAAATATACTGTACTTTGAACAATTCAAGTAATGTAAGACTATCAAAAATAACTTCATAAGCCATATAAGTGTCAATTGCATTTTCAATGTTTTAATTAAGAATGTCTTAAAAATTGTAAACTAAACCATGACAGTTTAGTTAAACAAATAAGTGACTTTTTATTTGCACTTGTGATTCCTTAATACAAATTGCTACCAACAAATCTGTAAAGATATGGCAGATTATGCATTTGATCAAAGCACTTTGATTTAAGCATAAAACAGATTCAAATGGTACAAGTTCGTGCATAAGATCCAAGGAGTTGCCTACTAATTTAGAGGCACCCTCTCTCTAATCAGAATCCGTTATTCCTCAGCTGCAGATGAGATAGGGCACAATCTGTTGTAAACAGGGCACTGTTGTAAAACCAGGATAATATTCTTAAATTAAGATCATTCTCACTCAATTGAAAAACATTTCCCACGTGTCTTCCAGCACTGTAGTATATTCTGCTGACCTCTTAATTTCATAAATTAACTTTCCTTTGATTCCATTTTTATGGTAGTTGTGTTCACAGTTTTGTTTTAAAAATCGGTTTAAATTTATATAAAACTCTGTACATGTTCACAAATTATTGCATAAACAGCATAATCTTCAAGACAGTGTTTGCAAACACATGTCCAATTCAGGAAATAAAAATATTCACGTTTCCCGTCTGGCTTTTTTCTTCTTTTTTATTTGTTTGGGAGATTCCCAGTTAGTTTCAGACTTGGCTAAAAGAGAAGGGAGTTGGGGAGAGAAAAAAAGTCAGGAGGATAGTAAGCACTGTTTTGTTTCAATAATATAAAAGTAGTAACAATGAAAAAATAATTTAAAGCCCTCAAATTTTATGTTTAAGTTTTGAAGTCTTAGTTATGTATTTTTAAATTAATCTGTATCTGCCTCCCTCCATTCTTTTCACTCCCACTGTATTACGAGGTGCGCAGATATGGAACTGTCCTATATGCAGCCAGCTTTGACTCCCCCTCTTTTTTCTTACTATGTTACTCAAGCTGGTCTCAAACTCCTGGGCTCAAGCAATTCTCTTGCCTCAGTCTCCTGAGTAGCTGGAATTACAGGTGCATGCCACAGTGTCCAGTTAGAAACCACCATTTAATGTGGCTCAGCTTAACCAATATGAGAGTAAAAATGATCACAGGTAGCTGAAGGGAGAAAAGGATGGGAAAAAGGTGGAGAGCAGCTTTCAGCCTTGGGAATATTACAAAGGAAAAAAGCCAGACAGACAAGTAGACAGGTATGAAGTCTTCCTTTCTATCCTTAGTCACTTATTCTCTCCTTCCATTAGTTTAGCAACTGGGCCCTCATGACTGAAGTCCACCAGCTGGCATTGAGCATTTGCAGGGGAAGGAAGGGTACTTTATTAACCCATTGGATTTCTAAGAAATGTAAGAAAAAATGTAAACAATACAGAAGTACACAAAGGAACCAAAAAGAGGACTACTTACTCTGTGAAGGAGGCACACTATTTTGCTTGGTATTTGACTTGGATTTATCTGTCTCTTGAAGCATCGGTGGCACTTGGGAAGAGCTCTTGTCAGAATCACTTTTTAACATAACAGATGGCTCGGTAGAAACAGCAGGTGGAAGAGTCTTGACAGGCTATTTTGGAGTAAAGTTATTTCACATTTTTTGTACAATTTTCAAATAAAATAAAATACATCAAGAAGCTATTTAGCAGCAAGTAAATACTAAGATGGTTTCCAAGGAATTTATCAGCAGAAGCACTGTAATTCATGTCTGCCCTCTAGTGACATAATCATTACCTACAATATCTATGAATATAGCTATGGATAAAGGTGTAAATATAAAATGTCTGCTGAATCTTAGACAGTGAGTAATTCCATTTTCCTATTTCATTACAAACAGCTCTTACTGCTCCTCTTTTAGCAATTCCACTTACCACCAACTCTGAACACACTGAAACTTTTCAACAAAGGGGGAAAAAAAAAAAGTGAACTTCTGAACTACCAGTACCTCAGACTGCCGTATCTCCTCCCCACTAGGGAAGGGTATGCCAAATAGCAGCACACCAGCTTTGTCCTGCTGATACAAGGAACCAAGAACACTTAGGTGCAAATCTTTACACTTAGCCTATCTTTTTGGTTGGTGGGACTGGGGTTTGAACTCAAGGCGTTGAGCTTGTAAAGCAGATGCTCTACCTTTTGAGCCACACCTTCAGTTCACTTTGCTCTGGTTACTTTGGAGATGGGATCTCGTTAACTATTTGGTGGAGCTGGCCTTGACCCAAGATCCTCCCAATCTCAGCCTCCCAAGTAGCTAGGATTATAGGTGTGAGCCACCAGTGGCCAGCTGGGTCTAGATTCTTGAGCCTTGCTTCTCCCTATCTGGGAGCAGAAAGGAGGTAAACTAACCTCTAAATGGTTAGGACTAGGTAATATTAAAAATGCAATTTAGACAACCTTGAGGCTGTGAAAGATGAGTAGATTATTTCACTAGTTAGCTTTATCTGTAATCTACATATAGAAACAAAGGTAAGTAATGGTTCTCTTGCCCCTGTTCTGCGAGGCTCCATGGGTTCAAGAAGGCACAATGGGAAAAAGGACACAAGAGAAGTAATATAGTATTGGGGATGTAGCTTAGTGGCAGAGTAGTTGTCTAGCATGCGCAACACCCCAGGTTCTATTACTAGCACAAGGAAACAAAAAAACAAGAAAAAGAAGTGGTATGAGGCAAGGTAATTACTAAGTATTCCTCCTCCTATTCCAGGTATCTGAAATTAAATTTATGTTGCCTAGTTTCTTTATCTTAATGTTCCCTGTACTTACTTTACGTTCAAAAGTTTTAAATTACATATTTTTAATCATTTCCCGTTTTCTCAGTTACATTAAATCACAGGTCTCAAATTTTTTTTTAAGATGGCTTCTGAAAGTGACTTAATATAATACCATATGTCAGATGATCCTTTGCTACTTACTAATAAACCAATTCATATATTGTATCCTTTTATCTCACAATAGGAAGTATGATTAAAACCCATTTTAGCAGAAGACTCTTAGAAATTCTCTTAATGGCAACTCAGTTTGTCAAAAGCTGTCTTACTAAATATGAAAATTCCACAAGGTCAGGGATCTGTTTGTTCTCTACAGGAAGCACTTTATGGCTACTCTTTGGCCAGTAGCATTACTTATACTTTGGGGCCACTATTAAGTAAAATAAAAATAAGGGTCACTTGAACACAAGCACTGTGATACTATGACAATTGATCTGGTAACTGACATGGGGACTAAGTGATTAATGAGAAGGTAGCATATAAGCCATAGATATGCTGACTTAAAAGGGGATTCATGTTCAGGGTGAGATGGCATGAGATTACACTGCACTACTCAGAACAGCATGCACTTTAAAACTTATAAACTGTTTATTTTTGGAATTTTTCCATTTATTATTTTTGGACTGCAGCTGATCATAGGAAGCATGGATAAGAGGTGCTACTATATAGGGACTCTGATTATACAACTGATACTTATGTGGCTTTGGGCAAGAAATTCAGCTTTTCGAGCTTCATTTATATAAGGGCCCCATCTTTCTCTTAGGGTTTTCCTTGTGGTCAGTGTATTTAAAAATGCTTAGTACAGTACTTCAGTAGAGTATTAATCATGATACGATCTGGAGTCAACAAAACTTATTGCTCCTTAAAGATTACCTGGCTATTTTTGACAAGTACTTCAGCTGGATCACTAGTGCTAATGGTCTTCGAGGGAAAAGATTTTTCCTGTTTTGGACGGGCTTTCGAGGTATTCACTGGAAGCTCCTCTTGAATCTCTTTTTCTAATTCTTCTGTGTCCTACAGAGAAAAGTAGTCTCTTAAATGATTAAGCTTTACTAATTAAGCATTCTTTATTAATTAAAATCTATTTTGCTTATTGTTCAGATGATGTGCCAAGAAAAAATAATTTCACTTCAGAAGATATCCAAACCACCAATGGAATATATGTTCAACACTTCTTTCTCCAGGGAGTTACATCAATTGAGAATTAAAAAAAAAAAAACACAAATCCCAAAATAGAAACCATTCTGATGGAACAGATCAACATAGTAAGAATAAGCTAAACTATTATATAGTCTATTTTAAAAAAAAAGTACACAGTAACCCAGTTGATAGTTGAAATAAGACTTTAAAAATATTTCACTCAATGACTTCTTTAAGAATAAAATGTTTGTATGTATACAGTAGAAAGGATATGGCAAATTGGAACTCTAATTTTGGCCATGCCGTAGTGTCTTCGTCTATAAAATCTCTAAGGTTCTTTCTAATCTTTAATGTTTTCATTTTTTATCTTTTAGACTTTTGAAAAGTTGCAACAGGACTGGGAGCATGGCTCAAGTGATAGTGCACATGCCTGGCAAGCGTGAGGCCCTAAGTTCAACTCTCGGTCCCACCAAAAAAAAAAAAAAAAAAAAAATCTAAATCATGTAATTCTTAGATATGTGTAGTAAATACATGAACTAGAATATACTAAATAGGAGCACATCTGTGAATTGTATTGTTCTTTAGTAAATATATACATATAAATGTTTGATTTTTTAACAAGAATACAAACTTCATGATATGCTTAAGGCTGCAACAGATGCCAGTGGACGTTCTTTTTAACAACTGGTTAAGATGATTTAAAAAGTTTCCTTCCAGTGCTCACTTTGGCAGCACATACACTAAAATTGGAACGATACAGAGAAGATTAGCATGGCCCCTGTACAAGGATGACATGCAAATTCATGAAGCATTCCATTAAAAAAAAAAAAAAGTTTCCTTCTAGGTTGGGGTTGTGGCTCAGATTTAGCAAGCACAATGCCCTGAGTTCAAACTCCAGTACTGCCAAAAATAAATAAATACATAAAATTAGTTTTAAAAGTTTCCTTCCAACATTGCTGTGCTATGAAACTTGTTTGGGATAGTGCTGATGCAAATTTAAGTACACCAGGATAGCTCTGGAAGCATGTATGTAGGATTTGCAATCTCTGAAAGTTAATCAATCAGAAGACTGATAGTTGAATGCTGATAGCAATAAACACCACCAAGCATGTATCAGCAACTCAAAAAAAAAAAAGACAAATCCCAAAATATGGTCTTTTATGAGTTGGATTATGTGTATGTACTCTGTGTAGAACTTTATGATTATCTCATTTATTCTCAAGACAACTAGGCAGTTAAATACCAAACTGAAAAAACCCAAAATCAATGGCAGAATGAGAATCTAAGTCAGATCTGATTCTAAATCCAATATATATATTAAAATCAAACGCTTAAAAGGGATTACTAGAATACAATTCATTTCCTATCTGAATTGCTTGGAAAAGGAAGTGTTTCAGATTTTGAAGTTTTTTTGATTTTGGACTAGTTGCATAGATGTCAGTGCTCAAAAAAAAAAAGCAGAACATTTTTTTTTGGAATGGGGATGCTCAACCTGTACTAAATAAACATTCACATGACCTTTACCAATAAATTTAACATTTTGGAATATATCTATCCCACAAAATTTCTTTTAAAAGAAATTCAACTAATCCACAATCCAAAGACATAGTATTAGTAATAGTCATAATTTAAGCCACAAATATTTAAAGAAAACTGCCAAAATGGATCTTAGAACGAGGACATATGTCAATTAATATTTCTTATCAGCTTCAGCGAACAAGAAACCTATTATGTAGTTTTAGGTTTTCATATCCACTGGTATTGGTCCTGTTAACTTTAATGCCTATCCATTTTTATTCATAAAAACAAAAGACAAACAAGCCAAAAAAAAAAAAAAAAACTAGTATTGATGGTATAATGAAAGTTTGTGTTTCCCATAATAATAAAGAATTAAACATATATTTCCTTAAGAAATCATGCTGAGAATTCTTCCAAATACAACAATAAACAGGAAAAATTACTGTGTGGACTACACTAGAAATTTTGGTTCCCTATTTCCTACGTTAAAAGGAATGCAAACAATCAAGTGGTCATAGTAAGAAATAAAAATATGTCCGTAAGTTGAAATGTAATGATAATAGTGCTTTTAAAAAATAAATCTATGCATTTTTCTAATAACTTAGTATGCCTGAAATGAAATTATAGATTTTTTCATTGCAATGTAACTTTTTCCCCCAAACAGGAAAGGCCAGAGAAAATGTAGGGGCAATGCAAAGAGAGATTTGATAGTTAGAAACCAAAAAAAGCAGGAAACAATGCTAAGTAAAATCACCAGCAAACTCAGGAGCCAGGTGGAGAACTCCACTTGTTATGCACATGGTTTCTCTAACTGTGCTAAGTGGTACCTTCCAGTCATCGAAGGGGAGTTTTTGTATGTGAAATACTGTATCTCTTTCTCCACTTCACCACTTTATAATAAGAAATGTATGAGTAATTTGGAATTTTATTCATTTATTTTTGGATTTGGCTATACCTTCGATAATTTTCTTCAGCAATGAAATTTTTATAATATGGTATATTAATTTTTAAGATGTCCAAATTTTTTCAAATGCTTTTCAAGTAAATGTGATGTTTTATGCTGTCATTTATTTCATGTATTGTCAGTATCTGAATGCCATCTTTTCCACATTTTCAGCAGTAGACGCAAAAAGACTATTTACTGTTTAGACACTTTACCTGTGCAACAGAGTTATCTTCACCTTGCTTCTTCTTTTTCTTTTTTTTCTTTTTAGATTTCCCAGTTGGAAGAGCTCCCTCTCCCTTTTCTTTATCATCATCTGAAACCTAATGTTAAAAGCAAAAATAACAAGTAAATTGAACCAATAGTTAAATTTTTATTACTCAGAAAAATATTATGAAATAATTTCATTTATAAGGTTGTCTTTATTCCCCAAATCTAAATAAAAATTAGTTATGACTAGCAAAGCTTATAACAAATTACATGTTTAAAAAGAAATGAAATACACAGAATTTCATTCTCTTATTATATAGTGTAGGTCCTCTTCCCCCTTTTTTTGGAAAGTACTGGGGTTTGAACTCAGGGCCTCATGCTTGCTAGGCAAGTACCTCACCAGTTGAGCCACATCCCTGCCCTTTTTGCTTTAATTTATTTTCCTGATAGGATCTCTTTTTACTATATATTTCACCATGCACAACACAATGAGAAAGCTGTGTAAATCTTCATGTTTTAAAAATTCACTGGAGGGCCAGTATGGCGGCTAATAACTGTAATCCCAGCACTTGGGAGGTAGAGGCAGGAGGATTTTGAGCTATAGGCCATCCTGAGTTACAGAGAGACCCTGTCTCAAAAAACCAAAAAGTCCAAAAACCTTAACTCAAAACAAAACAAAACAAAACAAAACTTCATTGGGTAGGCAGTTCGGCTTTGTTGTGGAGCTGAAAATGCAGAGCTACTTGCATTAAAATTTAATTTGACCCTGTTAAGAGAATGACATGACAAGTTTTAGAATGGTAGAGAATATTTGCAACCCATACAGTAGTTCCAACAAAGAACCAGCATCTATACTACATAAAGAACACTATAGTTAACAGTTACAAAACATCCAATTAGAAAATATGCAGGAGACATGAATACACTTCATCGAAGAAGCTAAACATAAGGCAAAGCAGCACATGAAAAAATGTCCAAATAGCATCAGCTATGAGGGAAATGTAAATTAAAACACCTTCAGCTATCACTCACTGGAGTGGCTAAAATAAACAGTGACAATTACAAATGTTGGTGAGAATGCAGAAAAACAAATTACACATACAGTCATGGGAATGGAAAGTGACAGGGCCATTATAAAAAAGTTTCTTAAAACACTAAACATGCAACTATCATACCAAGAGTATACCAGAGATCCCAGAGAAATGAAATCTTAGGTTCACACACCCCTGCTGAACAATGTACTTAGCAGCTTTAATCATCTAACTCCAAACTAGAAGAAATTCAAATGTTTTTCAATAGGAGAATGGTTAAACAAACTGCAGTACAATCTGACCATGGAATATCATTCAGCAACAAAAAGGTACGTATTAGTGATACGGCAAACAGACTGGATGAATTCTCCAGAGAATTCTGAGGAGTTAAAAATATAAAACAGTATGGACATATCACAATAAAACCCCTTCATGCAATTATATATACCAAAAGTGTTTAAGAAAAAAAGAAAAACCACTGCCAAAGGCTGTAATATACTATGTAATTCCATTAATATTAGATTAGTTTTTGCTTTTAAGATGGGTTTTGCTATGTTGCCCAGGCTGGCCTCCAACTCCTGGGTTCTAGCAGTCTTTCTGCCTCAGCCTTCCAAGTAGCTGGAACTATGAGTGGGTACAAGCGCACCAAATTAGTATCATATTTTTAAAATGACAGAATTATAGAGCAGAAGGGACTGAGCAGGGGACAGGACAAAGTGTAGTAAAAGGTGGTGATGGAAATGCTATGTCTGGCTTCATCAACATCAGTATCCTAATTGTGATAAAATACTATAGTTTACCAAGAGTTACCACTGGGGAAATTGAGTAAAGGGCATAGGAATTTGCTATTATTTTTTCTTTTGCTCTGTTTTTCTTATTAAACAAATTTTACTTGTTATGCTTTATATTATTTATTTCCTAAAACTGCATGCCAATCTATATCTCAAATGCTGAATTTAAAAAAGCAAACTGGAGAAGTGTCACCAAAAGGAAGATTCTGTGTGCCAAAATTGCCTATCAAATTAGAATGTTAAATTAGTATTCATATATACCGCATTACTGAACTTTCTATGGAAAAAGGTTTTTCTGCGTTGTTTTCAGATGAAAACCTTGATTCCTAGACAAATCTCATAGGAAGGGATGGATGATCTGGAGAAATGCTACCCTTATGCTCAGAATGAGTCATTAGGAAGATTTTGGTGATGTCATGAATCATCACCCAGCCTACAGAAATTACTAACAAATGGAAAAACAAAACAAACTTGACTAAGCAATTTTCAGTCCAAGCTGACTGGCAGTTAGTGCTGGGATTACAGGTTGCACACCATATCAGTTCTACAGAAGCTTTCACCACAAAGTGTTTTATAGGCTTGTAAGCATTAAAATACTATATGTAATGATGAGTTCTATAAAAGATATCCGAGTCACAAGGACCTTCTGCAATCTGTCTCAGCACATATAATCTAACCATGCAAGAAATGTAGTTCCCCATGGCAAAATACTACTTTTGTTAATGAGAAGGCTTAACTCAACTCGTACTACCTTTTAAATAATATAAAAGGGTTGAAGTTTTTAGATTCTTTTTTTACACATCTTCCTGATTCCATTCTCATACTATCTCTCAAGAGGTATTATTTTCAATTTATTTTGTGCCCATCCAACCAATTTTTCTTTTTTTCCTTTTTTTTTCCCAAAACCTTTTTTCTTTTTGTGGCACTGGGGTTTACACTTTGACCTTAGGGCCTCCTGCTTGCTAGGCAGGTGCTCTACCAATAGGGTACAAACGTAATCCATTTAATTTCCCCCTTGCCCAACTTGACTTTCACATTGCCTGCTAACTGTTCCCTTTATATTGACTTGCCTCCCCAGTGCTCTGGTCTCCTATTAAAGGCCAATCTTTTTGCTTGAGCCTATGGGTTCCTCACACCCTACGCCTTGCTCTAAGAGGCAGTCTTTCATTTACGGTTCTTACTTCATTGTAGATCCTTTCCCCTTCGATCTAGATATGTTAAAATAGGGACTGGCAAACTAAAAGCCCATCCCAATACCTGTATTTAGAGTCCATATCTGTATCATCTGTGGCTGCTTGCAGCACAGCTAAGTGCTGCATCAGACTGTTTGACTCTTTCATGACAAGTCTGCCAGTCTTGTGCTAAAATCTCTCATTAAAAAACAAAAACCCTTTCCCCACAAAATCCTTCCTGATGCCATATACTGCTGTCATTTATTAACTCTCTTCCATTCCTAGTCAAACTTTAAAAAAAAAAAAATCACACTGGCTAATCCCTTCACCATTCAACTTTCTAAAATATGGCTTCTATGCCATAGAAGTCTCTTCTCTTAACCAAAAAGTACCCCTAATCCCTATACTCACCTTTTTATCATTAGGAATTGGTTCCTGGGATTTTAGAAGTGATGCTCTTTCTTCATCTACCCAATTTCCCCACTCTTCTGCTGGTGCATTCCAATCTGAGCTGGGATCAGCTGAAGACAGACCATCTAAAATTTAACAGTGTGAATTGGTCATCAATCATTTCTGCCATAAACTAAAATGCAAGAACTAAAATACCTTATGTTGAACTAAGCTGTAATTTTTTTTTTTTTTGACAGAGTCTCATTACATAGCTCAGGTTGACCTTGAACTTCAGATCCTCCTGCTTTAGCCTCCTTAGTGCCAGGAATATAGGTGTGCACCATCACACTCTGCTTCTAAACTGTAATTTTAAACTTTTTTTTTTCTTTCCCTTTCATGTACATTTTAAGAGCTAGAAAAACCAGTACAGATGATGGTGACAACCTTTACCCAAGTTTTGCTAGGCATATAGTTAAATGAAATTTAGAGACAGCCCAGAAAATGTACTAGCTAGTCATTTTTAACTTTATAGTCTCTTGAATTTTCACTTTCCCTGTCTATCTTTAACTTAGTTTAGGATCTGGCCATTTTTCTGCCCTAACCCACCACACTTTTATAATTGATTTGTTTTCTAGGGTACCACCAAAATTATACTCTAGCTGCCATTTTATATTACACTTTCTCCCATACTTGTGAGCTTTTCAAGATTGGGTTCTTCAAATTCACCACAAAACAACGTACATACAGCTTCCTTTTCTTTTGACTGCTTAACTTTTACCTTTTCAGATTATTTAATATTCCCTTTATCTGATCATTCCAAAAATACCTGAAAATAGTTAAATCACTTTCAGGGCTTCAATCATCCCAGTACCAAAAATAAATTTTAGTCAAGATTTCCAACTTCAACTCGAACTCATTTTTTTTTTTTTGCGGTACTAAGGGTTGAACTCAGGGCCTCCCACTTGCTATGCAGGCACTCTACCACTGGAGCCACTCTACCAGCCCTTGTTTGTGTTGGTTATTTTTGAAATTGGATCTTGCTTTATACCCAGGTCAGGTTGGACCAAAATCCTTCTATTTGTGTTTCCTGTGGAGCTGGGGGTGATACGTGTATACCACCATACTCAGACACTGGTTGAGATGGGGGTCTCTAGAACTTTTTGCCTGGGCTAGACTTGAACCTTGATCCTCCTGATCTCCACCTCCTGAGTATTTAGTATTACAGACTTAAGCTACCACGCTGAGCTGAATTTTTTTACATTAAAAAATTCTAATTAGTGCACATTAACTGTTCAAAACAGTGAGTTTCATGATAACATTTTCATACATGTACATAAAGTACATTGGTTATATTCACTGAATTTTTACTTTAGGAGCTATCACTGACTTTTTCTGTTTTTTCTTTTTCTTTTTATGTTTTGTCATATTGGGGCTTGAACTCAGGGCCTACACCTTAAGCCATTCCACCAGCCCTTTTGTTTTGTAATGGTCTTTTTTGAGATAGGGGCTTGAGAATTATTTGCTGGGGATGGCTTCGAACCATGATCCTTCTGATCTCTGCTTCCTGAGTAGCTAGGATTACAGGAATGAGCCACCAGCATCTGGCTCACTGACTTATTCTAAAAGGGGAAAACATTCTTTGGCTTTACCCTAGCTAAATAAGCAGCTCTCAGAGTTAAATCTGCCTTCCTCTCTTTGCACACCATACACTCTCGTATGTACTCTGCAACATCTACTTGTAGTTTAGGTTTTATTTACAGTGGTTTAATATGAGAGCTGGAAGAGTGGCTCAACTGGTAAGAGTACCTGCCTAGCAAGTGTGAGGCTCTGAGTTCAAACCCCAGGGCTGCTAATAAAAGAAAAAAAAAAAAAGTTGACAGAGGTGAGACTTTATTTCTGATTGGTTAACTTAAAGTTGTCCTAACATTGCTTAACTGGAAAAAAAATCTAACCGTTTCTGGAATTTGTATTCTCTTCTTCTGATCTATTTTTGGAATAGTGCCATTCATAACTTTGTTATACATTTTAGAATCCAGAAGGACAAGTCTGCTTGCATTACTCTCATTTTTTTTTTACTATTCTTATTTTCCATTTTTCTCTATGATTACTTTTGCTCAAAGGGAAGCTATTATGATACATCTTCCTGAAGGCTTTAATACTACATTTTGGAAGATCATACAATAATGAGAAAATGCTCACAGGAAAAAAAAAAATCATACACAAAACTGTTTGTACAGTGTGATTATAAATTTATACGAGAAAGAGTCTGAGACACATTAATAATAAATATATCTATAAATAGTGGAATTACAGGAATTTCACCTACTTGCCAATTAAGTATGTGCCTTACTAAGCACTTACTATGCAGTAGAACTGGAGCTAAGTAGGTTTCAGAGATAGAAAACCAAGCAAGATAGAATCCATCCCACAGCAGCTCACAATCATTCAGGGATGGAAGCATGTACGCATTACAAATAATTAAGAACAGAGTAATAGATTCCATCACCGGAAACTATGAAAACAGAGGAGAGGAGCTAAACCAGTAGAGGACAGGGAGAGAATGAAGACAAACAATGTCTACAGTCTGTCTACAGTCTAGTGAGAGAACAAGTGGTTACAAGTGTGAAATGTGCAAAACAGGAAGTCCTTTACTATATATCTAAATTCACTACCATGAAAGGTATACGAAGTCAGTACTCTACAGTATTAACATCGAGGGGGGAGGGGTTAAGCACATGGCTCTATAGTCAAACATGTCCATCTGCATACTCTTCTATCACTTAATAACACTGTGATTTTGGTTAAGTTTCTTAATCTTAATGGGCTACACGCCAACTTCATGGAATGCTGAGATGATTAAGTAAGATATATATAAAGTTGTTCATTGCAATGCAGTAATTGCTCAATAAATGGTAGTTATTGTTTTTATTATCACTGATGACATTAAAGTCATTTTTAAGGTATCAGGCATATAAATAACTATTCTCACAATCCTGAAAAATTTCTCAGTAAGATACATGTGATATGTCTTAAATAAAATAATTTTTAGAAGTACAAAGGGATCTAGAAGAGTTTTGAAACCAACTGCTCACCTTATACCAAGCATTCATTAACAATACTGTTAGAGGAGATTCAAATGCCAGAGCTGTCACTGTGAAGCTTAAACTTCACAGATAAGAAACCTAGACTTGAAAAACTGGTGTTCATTAGCCATGTTTGCAAGATAGCTTACCAGGAAAGAAACTACTGAGTGGAAAAAAGTTAAGTCAATTGGATGGGCATACCCACATATGACTCATTTTCTGAAAAAATATGGTAGGAGCTGGGGGGTGAGGAATAAAAATCAAGCAAAGTATTTAATGGAAGTGTTGCTCAAAAGGCTTAGATGCCTTAATGTTTGGTGAACAAGTACAGTCTATTGTTGAACTTTTGAAAGAACATTAACAGAAGCATAAATCTGTATTGATTTCTGTAACATTTTATGGCAGTTTTTCTGTTAGATAAAACTACTTTACAGTAACAGATCAATCATCTAAACCTAAAAATTGATGCCAAGAGACTTTTTAATGAATAATCCTTAAAATTCATGCGAATAATGTGCTAACAATCTTCTTAACATAGCTGCCTTGAAAATAATTCCAAGTGTAGTTGTCTCCATTTATTAAATATAGTAAACTCTCATCTCAAAGTTCTTCCGTGAGCCTGGAAATTTCTTTCCAAAGAGCTGTATTAGTATTTTTTTAAAAGGGTAAAGCATTTGTCTCTTCACTTCATGTGCTTGTGGAGTGTTTTAGGTTTAAACATCTCATTGCTAGGCTCTATTTGGTGGTTAGCTATTTCTGTCAGAACATAACTCAACACGAACTTTAATAAAACAAAACAATTATGTTCAAAAGACATTCTCCAGTGTTTAAGCAAACAGTTATTAACCCCACCCAGAAGACTAGTTTTGCCACTGGAAGGATATCAACAATAGCACTTACTAGATATTGACTGTGTGTGGGACAGTGTTGTGCTTTATATGTATAACTCATTTTATCCTCAACAACTCTGTGAGGAATTATCTTCACAGATGAGAAAACTGAGGCACAGAATGATAATGTGACCTGCATAAGGGCAAGGGCAAGAAACCTAAGATTCAAACCCAGGTAGTTTGTCCTCAAAGCTCATGCTCTTTAACCATCTCACTATGCTCACTAGCTAACTCATCCCCATCCTGGGTATCAACAACAGTAAAGTCCTATTCAACATCTACTCTAACAGGAGTTATAATAATGTTAGTTTCTCTACAGTCAAGGTAAATGCCTTTAAAAAACATTACCTCTGTACCTTAGCATCTTAACCTTATACTTGTATTCAAGAATTTGGGTAAATCCAGTGCCTTTCTGTCCAATGATACCTGTCTATACCTCAAAGACAGATACAATATTAATGTACAAAGAGATACAATATTAATCATGTCCCACTGGAAATGTAAAGCTCATGTAATATACCTAAGGACTAATCTCAAATACTAAGTTATGTACTCTATAAATTCAGAAGTAATAACTAAATTTACTGAGTACTAAAAAAATAGCTACATTAGAAATAGTAACATGCAAAAAGTAAAATTCACAGAGAAAACGAGACTAAAGACAAACTTTAACAAACTTGAGGAAGATAGTGCGCCTGATACGTATTAATAGTATCTTTTAAGTACAGAATCCTATGAACATGTTTTTAAAAATCTTTTATTTTAGCAGTCAGTCATGCTTTTCATATTCAAAGAATCCGAATACAGAAAGATAAAAGTGGAGCTATTTTATCCAGCAGGGAAGCCTGGAGCTCTGTTTAGTCAGTTTTCCTCGGCCTCTACTAACAGTAGTCCAAGATATCTTGCTGCATCCTTCCTGCAATCACTCCTATTTCTCCTATAATAGGAGAAATTCTCCCTAATTCTGCTCTGCATGTAGCTGATCACTTTTCCTAAGCACACACAGACTATCCTATCTCCACCCCCAGTCAGTGCTTTCACATCCTTATAATACCTTGGATTCAGATGATACTATGTAATTTATAGACAGTTTTTATGTCCATCCAGTACCTGGACAAAACTTCCTAACAACTTATAGAAGTAGATATACATACTGATGGATTATTTCCTCCACTTTACAGCTCAATCTACCCTCCAAGACAAGTGACAAAGTTCAAGCCCCATGTGAGATACTGCAGTTTAAATAGTCAGGACTAAAACTCAGATCTACCTTCTAAAAAAGTACTCTAACACCCACCTCCCTAATCTTTAGGCAGCAATTTAAGGCATTTCATAATATGGCCTTGCCTTCCTCTTTCTTCATCTGTAAGAGCTATGCTTCAACCACTGTGTTACAAACTTGCCTTTATGATTACTATCATCGCCAAGCTTGCAGCATGTAGTGGTTAAAGAGCATGTACTCTGGGGTAGGACTAGCAAGGTCTGAATACCATCTTCTTCTCTTTAACTACCTATATGGCCAGGAAAAGTTAGATAACTTTTTTTTTTTTTGGCCTCAGTTTCTTCATCTAGAAAGTAGAGAAAAATAAAATCTATTTCTTAGAACTGTTAGAAAGTATCAAGTGAGTTAATAATATCCAAGAGGCGTAGACCAGTGCCTTGCACAGAGTCCAGTGTTTACTTTTATTATTACTACTAAACACCAATGTATTAAAGCACTGAAACGTGTACTTAGCATATAAGAGTATAGTTTCTCTTTTAGGTTGTTTCAATTCTACTTGGAGAAATAAAAAATATTTTTTAATACGTCAAAGAAACATATTTTACTTCTATTATCTCATAGAACTTTTTCCTATTTTTTAAGAAAATACTTTTTAACTGATACATAAAAACATAAAAATTGAGGGCTGGGGGGAATGGTTTAAGAGGTATTATGACTACCTAAGAAGTGTGAGGCCCTGAGTTTCAATACCAATACCACAAAACAAAACATAAAAAATTGTGTTATTATTTTTAACACATACCAAAATGGTAGAAAAATCCCACAGGGTAGTATATAAGTGTTTAAAGAAAAGAATGTAGTATAAGAATTCAGAGCAAAGAATAAATTCTGAAATCTGGGGTTCTGGGGCAGGGGAACTTCACATACTTTTATTTACTTACTATGTGGTGGGACTGGAATTTAAACTCAGGGCTTCATGCTTGCAAAGTAGGTGCTTTATTGCTTAAGCCACACCTCCAGTCCATTTTGCTGTGGCTGTTTTGGAGATGGGGTCTCGCAAACTGTTTGGGCTGGACTCTACCTATGATCCTCCCAATCTCAGCTTCCCCAGTAGCTAGGATTTACAGGCATGAGCCACTAGCACCCAGACATACTTTGGTATGAACATGAAAACCGTATTCTTTTTTCCCTTCCAATTTTCTTGATTTAAATGACTCTTGCCTTTCGCCTTCCCTATGCATCTACTAGAATTTGGGCTACTAGTACAAAAAGCATGCACACTTCACAAATTCAAAGCCATTCCTATTATTCTAGTCTCTGTTTTACACCAAAACTAGGAGAAGAAACAATATTTGTTTTAAACAAAAAATTTTAAAAACTAGACCTACTACAGAACTGTAAGAAAACTTCATGTTTACTGTCTCAATCATGAAAATTTAGTTTTAATTCTAGATATTCAATAATCAGGCTTCAAGCAGTACATATGGTATTAAATTATTATTACTGTGACCTTTAAAGGTGATTAAAATAAGTTTTAAATTAAAACATAAAGCATGACTTCAGGGTGCTAGAAAGAAAATTCTGAAAATAACTGATAATTTTTAAAAGGACATACTTAACCCAGACCATTCATCATCGATATAGGGTTGATTACGGCTAACATCCCACTGATAATCAGAAGTGGTAGACTGAGAAACTGGCTCAGCAGTAGACCCTTAAATGAAAAACGAATGCAATAAAATTAAAAATGGAATTTTCTAATGTTTCATAACAATAGTTCTATACTTTGCACACGGAGACTATTTTTTACTTCTCCTAGAAGGAAAAAATTCAGACACTGGAAAAAAAGTTTAAAAAAATGCAGATTTGAGGGTAATTTTAAATTAAGCTAATTTATTGATAAGAAAACTTTTCCTAGTACTGCTCTATTAGATTGTCTTTTGTACTGTATACTTCAAACTAGTTATCTGTAAAATTTAAATTGTCAAAAAAATTATTTTTTCTTCTTTTAATAAATGCAATAAACAAAGTCTTGGCTATCATTGTTTTAGCCCTAGATGTTTCAGGGTATGCTATCTCCTCAGCACTCTAGAGAACTAGAAAATGTCTGATTGTTAGCTTCAACTTTCTGGTGAAGGAAAGTTAAAGAAATAGATGATTATCTATAGAGGAGAGGGAGAAAAGCTAAAGACACAAGAAAGTTGTTAGAGGTTTAGAGTTAGACTCAGGTGCATTAGAGAGAACAGAATATTGACTTCTAAGCTTGTCTGTTTTAGGTTTTTTTTTGGGGGGGGAGGGCAGGCTGGGAGGAAACTAGGGGGTTACAAGGTCTTTTAGGGACTTGATGAAAGTTGTAGTGGCCCAATATCCAGAACTTAACACAAAATTTTCAGTTTTTAGGGCATGTAAGTTCATGGATGTCAGGTTAAAACCCCTGCTCTATAGCCATAGATTCATTTTAAAATGTAAACAAAAGTAGTGAATGAAATTCTGAATCAGCATTTTCATGTGTATCAGAGTCCTTAAGTGACTTTGATATTCACTTTAGATTCTAAGCCACTGATATAGAGAAATGGTTAAGAAAGAGAAAGACCTGATTAGAATAAAAGACTAACATAAAATCACTTCTTCCCCTCACTAATTATAATTTTCACATGGTTATAGATGATTTTGCTAGCATTCCACTATACATATTCAAAAGAGTTTAATGTAAAATTTGACAAATCACCCTATAATAGTGGTATATATGTAACACATTAGCTGCTCAGAAGTACAACTGTAACCCTATTACTTTAGTAGCTTATGCTGCTTTCTCTGAATATGAACAGAACAGCATCTGTGTATACCAAGTCACCAAATGAGGGAAGCAATTAATGTGTACCTCTGGAACTGAAATGTGGTCTATGAGACCAGGGTTTAGGAAACTGCAACTTGTATGCCAAATCCAACCATCCTGCTTTTATATGGCTCAAGAACCAAGAATAGTTTTTACATTTTTTAAATGGTTGGAAAAATAAATTGAAGGAACAGTATTTTGGAGCTAGACACAATTATTTGCTTACATATTGTCTCTGGCTCCTTGCCTGTTACCAGAATTGAGTATCTATAAGAGAAACAGCATGGCTAACAAAGAGCCTAAAATATTTACTATTTGCTTTTTACAGAAAAATTTGCTGACTACTATTCTAGGCTAGTATTCTAGACACTGAAGAACTACTCAACTAGTAAGCTGGGTTCATGAATTCCACTGTGAATCACACTGGAATGTGAATCAGCATCTCCCACAAATATGTAATACTTGTTACATATACATATATATCTTCTACTGACTAATAAAAGGCATATCCATTTATGTAATGCTGCTGATAGTTTATAAATAATAGTGTATATTCTAATCAATACATAATCGAAGTAGAGTTACTATGTGGGGGTCCATACAATCTGAAAGGCTTATTTACAAACACATGATGAATAAGAATGAATAGAAATAAAATGCCAAATTGCAACCGGAAGCACGGCAGTATACTAGTATAACAGGAGAGTACATGCCTAATCTAAAAGGAAGGCCTTCCAGGAGTATTTGTATGCTAACAAATTGTCAGTGATGTTAGACCACAGGATCTTCCTTACTCTCATACAGAAAGGAAAAAGCCATGTGCACATAAGGATTCAGGTCTCCCTTACCCCAACTCTTTAAGTCTCTGCTACAATATATATCTATTATATATGTTGAAAGCAGTACTTGATGCTGATTATTTTTTCAAATAACAAGTGCTAAAAGTAATTTAAACAAATTTCTTTTGTTAACTAAACGAAAGACTGTTTTCACATACCAGAAACAGCAGAGTTAAGTGTGAGAGGTGCAAAAGAAGCAGAATTCTGTTCAGAGGTATTCATTCCCCTATCCACACTAGACCAAGCAGCTGTTAAAATAAAGAACGTCACTTGGAAACTTCAAACTTCAAAGATATGTATAGATTTAAAACTATGATAACAACATTTAAAGATAACTTTAGAAATGAGAACTAATAACGTATTAATAGTTACTAGTCACTGAATATCTATTACGTGGCTTGGCTCCTGACAACCAACCACTTTTAATCCTCATGGTAACCCTACTAGGCAGTTTCAGAGCAGTTAAATGATTTGCTTATACCTAGAAAACAACTGAACCATGACTGGAAATTCAGTCAATTTCCAAAGCCCATACTCTTTCCACTATACCAAACTACCTTATTATCCCTCAAAATTAAGCAACTACTTTGGGCCAGGCACTGAAGTTGGTATCTGATATTCATTAAAACCTGTCATAACCACTTAAATATGAGGTGCATACATATTAAATAATTAACCTAATGTCCATAAAATCTAAAACAGGTATTCGTACCTAAGAGGTCGGTCTGAACTAGTCAATTCATTCTACTATACTAGGTTACCTTCTCAATATTTTCAAGACACTTCTTTGAGTACAGTCATGAACCGCAAAACGGCACTTTGGTCAACGAAAGATCACATATGTATTGTGGTCCTGTAAAATTTTATCGCCTAGTGATATGGTAGCTGTATTAGTTTTAAGTACATGCTACAATATTCACACAATGACAAAATCACCATATAACACATTTTTCGAACATGTCCCCATCATTATGTAACATCTGACTGTATTTTAAGGATCATATGACTCCATGCACTCAGTCATACCTGTTTCCTCTCAGTGGCCCACTGCGAACATAATTTAGTATTATTCCCTTTCTACTTCAACATAAGTCCTAAAACACCAAGGGAAGAAATCTAATCTACTGCTTAAATTTATCTGTAGCAACACTAAGCAAGTACCATCTAATCTTGGGCTGGGGGACATGGCTCAAGCTGGTAGAGTGCCTGCCTAGCAAGTGTAAGGCCCTGAGTTCAACCTACCAATACCATTAAAAATAAAAAAAGGTACAACCTAAACTAATAACTAATTATGAAACTGTACATAGCTTTTTAAGTGTATTGCAAATATTCAAAAATGTCACAATCACTAACACTACTCCTTAAAATGTGACTACTTCTTTTATTAAATATGAAAAGATTCTTTTAGTACAGAAATTTTGTGCTTTCTTCTCTGCTGAATATGAGGGTAGGCACATAAGCAATGTTTCTTCCACACAAATTTTGATATTTCTACACAATTTCTGGACCTCACAGGAGGACAGCAAGCTTAAGAATATTAGTAAGTGACCTAAAGTTTGCTTCTTGAAGGTGTTAGCTTTCTAAAAGGTAATGTGAGAAAAGCTAACAGTAAAGCAAGAATTTTTTCCTACTTACAAACTAAAAACTTTCTAGTGTTCATTATTTCCCAAATTAAAAAAAAATAAGCTATCAAAAAATATCTGCTATAAGCACAACAGAAAAACTTGTATATGTAACTCACAAGAAATTGTAATTCAACTTAAAAAAAACCAAACAAGAGGCCATTAGAAAAATGGCAAAGAACACGAATAGGTAATTCATCAAAGAAATAAAACTGACCAAGATAGCTATGGAGAAATATCTAACCTCAGTAGTGATTAAAAAAGTTAGCCAAAGTAATTTACATATTTTTGTTTATCAAATTAGAAAAAATTAGGGAGAAAAAAAAAAAAAAAGAATACCCAACCTTGGTAAGTACATGATAAGTGGGCATTTATATTGATGTTGAGAGCAGAATAACTCTCTTAGAAAATATTTCAATAACATGTGATGCAGTGTTATAAACATTTCATATTCCCTTTAACCTAAATCATTAGTAGGAATGTCTCATAAACCCCCAAACAAACATACTAACATTAGCTAAAACAGTTAAAAAAAAAAAAAGAAAAATGACTTCAATAGTGCGGGAAGTTAACGATGCTATGCTTATACAATAAATCGTAGGGCCACTAAACAAAAATATTTAGAGCAAGGAAAATACTTCTTAGATGTTGGGAGGTAAGGGGGAAAAAACCCAAAAAATGTATATTCAAGTTATGTCAAAAACAACAAAAAAACAAAACAAAAAAAAAAAAACAAAAAAAAACAAAACAGGGGAAGGAAAAAAGACCATAAACAAATATAAAAACTAACAGTGGTTGTCAATGGGTATTGTGGTAACAGTGGGTTTTTCCTTGTCTTTTTGCAGTTTTTCGTATTTAACAAGGATTTTTTTTCTATAATACATACGTGCACACAACACATACCTGAAAATTAAGTTGTTTTTAATTTAATGTCTCTTGGTAGAAATAAGCTTCTCAGCTACTAGTATTTATCATTAAAATCCACGGGAAAACATAATTACATAAAAGGGGCATTTTTCAGGTCTTGAAATACTTTGTAATTAGATGCTATAAACTGTACTTCCATTACTATTATTTTATACTCTAGAACTACTGAAACTAATCAAAAGTTTGCTCACACATAACATTTATCACATCACTAAGAATATACAACTGTACTAGGCAGTTACACTGATAAGCACATGTGATAAAGTATGTGAAAGCATAAGAATAAATGATAACCTTCATTATTCACTTTAGTTATCACTTCATTCCATGAAGAGAACCTGAGATGAATTACTTATCACAATTACTTCTATATGGTAGGACTAATTTTTCTGATAGCTTTTTTCCCATTCCTGAAAACTTAAAAATATACCAGATAAGCAATTTTACATGAACTTACCGATGCCAGAAAATATTGAACGGTCACTCCAACTCCTTCCCCAGTCTTTTCCATTTGCATTAGTGTCACCAGAGTCTTGAGTCCAAGCAGATGGCTCTGTTTTCCTTTTGCCTGCAGAAGCAGGTGAAACAGAGTTCCATTTCTCCTCACTTGCACTGATCTGTGAGGAGAGTTTTACAGGCTTTTCATTCCAGCCTCCACCATTGACAGTAAGGTTTTCATTCAATCCTGAAGAAACTTAAAGAAAAGAAAATGAAGATTAAAAACAGCATATAACTTATTAAAAATGGAATGTTTTAACACTTCTATGATTGCTCAGCTTATGTTTATCACTTTTTTTCTTTTATTGTCCTTTAAATAGCTTGAGCTTTTAAAAATGAACTTTTAAGATGACATGGTCACCACAGATCCCTAGTAAAAGAGATCCCTATTCAAATTTAATTAAAAATTCAAAGGAAGATTGAACGTAACATATATTCTACTGATATTCTCAGTGGCAGAATGACTGACTTCAAAGGCAGTACGATAAAGGGTATATGATAAGACACATATTCCAGTATTTTCAGCATACTCACCTACTAAGAATATAAAGATGTCTCTTTAGTTACATTTTCTTTTCCTTAAATATTTATGTATGATTCTAAACCCTGAGTGCATGTTAAAATCAACTTAGAAATTTCTTAAAACTAAACTGCAGAGCCTTAGCCCAGACCATTAAGGTAAGGACCTCTGCGTGTGGCATCCAGGCATCTTGTACATGTGTATGCAAAGAAACATGCAATTACTCACAATCATCTGTGTATTTATGTCTGTCTTGTATGTGTGACACACAAATACACACAGGTGATTGTGAATAAGTACGTTCCTTTGCGTGTATATTTTCCTATGACTTTAATGTGTAGCCAGGATTGAGAACAATGGGCATGAAGGAAGCTGACAGTGATAAGAACAAGTCTGAAATGGGGAGGTGCTGTTTTTCATTTTTGAATTTGATTTGCTACAACATTTGTTTTCATGTCAGGTATACCACTCTACATAATTCAATTATTATAATAAATAAGTAAACAAAATATATTTTTATGAAGCACCAAGTTAGTTTAGACTCTAGTCCATTTATTGTGAAATATTTGATACTGTCAAAAAAGTAGTTAAAAAATTCTAAGAACTAAGGCTTTTTTCTTAATATACAGGAGTTAAGTCTTTTAAATGTCCATATTACATTCATGTCTAACAAAGATGCTTCTTTGCTGGCTTCAGTGATGGAAGAAATCAAAACTTCATATAAACTATTACTAAAAGAATGTTTTTATATATGAAGAAAAATACTAGAACACACCAAAAACTGTTGGGAGTGATGTTTCTTTTTATCTATTTTCCAGAATCTTCGAATTGTGATTATGTTACTTTAGTGATTAAAGTAATTTTTAAGCCTCTGTCTTTCCTGCTACATCACTCATGTGAGGAAGGCAAGTATGCGAGCTTTTACTTTGATGGGGCTTCAATTTAAGTTACATGTAATTTTTCTCACCCTGAAGAGTGGAATCTCCTTTTCCAGACTTAAAGTTGCTAACTTGAACATTTAGATGAGAATCACCTGGTTGGAATAGAAATAAAATTTATTTAATACTAAATAGGCTGCTATGCACATTAAGTTAGGAGTAACATACAAATTGAGTTTTACTTATTATCTATAAGAAATGGCTTCTTCAAGTGCCGAATTCTGACATTTGGAAAAGGTTAATTTTACAACACATTTCACATATCCACAGGGAACTAAGTTCTCTAGTTACGTAGTCTTAGTCAACTAAAATGCCAACTGAGGACCCAGAAAATTGCCCAAATATAAATAAGGTTAGCTATTCTGTAATGGTTATTAAGATTCTTTTTGGTAGAAACTGGAGAATTGGGCTCTGAAACTGGATTCAACTTTGCCACCTCTCAGCAATACCAGCTGCCTTTTCAATAATCCTGGACGCAAACACATCAACTTAAGAACTTTTGCCAGTATTGGGACCAGAAGTTAGGAAATATGGCAAGAGATGAGAATACATGTTTTAACACAAAAATACAACATCTCTGACACTAAAAAGCATAATGTTAACAAGGTATCAAAGCAACCAGCACAAACAAGATTGTGTGAGCAAGGAAGGCATGCACAAGATAGAAGAGTCACCAACAAATGTACTAAAGCACAGCTAATAGATGACAATGAAAACAGGTAAGCAGAACTCACTGCTGTACCATGGCAATAAATACCACAGTAAGTCAGCCAAGCAAAAAGTAAAATGTAACAAGGTTAAGAAAGTGGTGTGGAAACAATTCAGTGATGAAAGGTTAGCAGACCATTAACAAAAAAAAGACAATCCCTTTGTGGACTAGTGACTCCAGAGTAAAATGATGACAATGTAAAGTGCTACCATGAAGCCATCAGTTTGAATACCTGAAATTCTTAAGAGGAAGAACATTAGCTCAATCACCTTTGAAATTCTGATCTAGCTTTTTCAAATACCTATATGGCATTCTCAAAAGGCTGGGTGTTAAGAAATCCAGATAGAACCTGCACTAACCAGAACATGCGTGTTTCATCTTGGAAAGAAAACACCCAACATGCAGAATGGTGATAAATAATTCCACTTAATAAATGTCTTATCCACTGTAAAAAATGGGAGATGCAAGAGAGTTGGGGGCAAAGCAATACACACGAGGAAAAGCAGCAACATCATTTTCTCATGTGATTCAGGCAGAAAGGCAATTTTAATTTAATAAGCCATTCATTAGGCAGTATGTAACACACTGCTGGCATCAGGTAACCAGCACATGGTTCACAATCCTCTCATGAAGAAGGGTGTATCAGTACAATGATGTCAGTTCAAAACAGATTTGACATAAAGACACTTTGTACATCTGATTTAAAGGAGTTTGATTTGATGTACCCCTCTAATGTTCCACTAATATACCTTTGTTCTTCTTGGAACCAACAGGAAATGAAGCAGTTGTAAGTTGCTCGGTGGTAACTGTGGTGGTATTTTCTATCCCAGGGATAGTTGAATCCAATGAACCAGAATCAGTCAGCACCTTATCACGTTTACGCTGTTGTCGTTTCTCTCTGTGACTAATTTTAGTTTCCCAGGCTCCTGATATAGCCCGAGAAAAAAAATGTTATTCAGCAAGGGGAAGACAAAAAAGTTGTAGCTTTGAGGAAAAAAATGGGAGGGCACACAAGATATAATGAATTTGGATATTACGCTAAAAATCAGGAGTGCTGATTATATTAATTTATCCTAAGAATTTATTCTAATCTCATTAAGCTGTTTTAGGCAACAAATTGCTATTATTTATTTTAATAAATTTTAAAATTATTTTAAATTTCAACTTAAAATTCAAATTTGTCATCCATGGTTTGGAAAAAGTTACAGAAATAAGTCATCTTATGTATTATTTTATCTTGTGGGGTAGAAGTGACAGGAGAGTGTTATCTACAACCACTAATAAATGGATTTATTAGGCGATGCTAATAAATGGCTTATTTAAGAATTTTGCATACAGCCTTTCCAGAATGGAATATATAAGGATGGGGGAAAAACCCAAACCATAGGAAACAAGGACAAGTTGAATGGCTTTTCAATTGCTCAAAATATTGAGGTTGACCTAAATTTCAAGTAGTTCCCTTCAGGAAAAGCACTACTGGATCTGTAAATAATTTAGATTACAAAGGTGTTTCCTCAAACTGTTACAGATCTGTTTATTAAAATCTATGATAATTAAAAAAAGAACTAGATACAAGATAACCAAAACAAATGCAGCTTGTATGTAATACATCTTGGTTAAAAAAATAAAAAGAGGGATTTAAAATTTTTCTATAGACTTTCCCTTGCTCAAATACCTTCATCGACTTCCTTTCCATCATGGCGTGAGCTGTTTTGCACTGCTTTAGCATCTGACTTTGACTTCTTCTTATTTTTCTTTGACTGAAAGCAAAATAGAATGTTACTTATTATTTTGTTATGTTTTTGAAAAGGTAGGAGCCAGTAAAATACATAATGAAATGTATGATGCTGACAACTAAAAGAATTTCATAAGTTTAATTTTAAAAACTTAATATATATTAAGTGGCAATAATATGAGGTTACCAACTATTGAGTGGTTACTATGTGCTAAGTATTTCATACTCATTTTGTTATTTATTCCTTTAAAAACAACAACAAAACTTCCAGGAGGAGGTATTATTCCATTTTAGAGATGAGAAAATGGAGACAGAGAAATATTAGTTAAATATTAAAAAGAATGTATTGGGTTACATTAAATTAGTAAATTAGGCTGCAATTAGAAACTAGGTCTGTCTGGCTCCAAAACCTGTGCTCTTAGATATCATGTTATCCTACCTCATGGAACAAATAAAATGCTGTAATATGGTGCTTTCAGAGCAATAAAATTATTAAACCCATTGTCAGTATTCAGAAGGGAAATGATGTACTGACTATTGATTTTTGGATTGCATAAAGCACATTGCTGATAAACTCTACATATAACAAATTAATGAATGAATTGTATGAAGCAGGTGTTATTTTGTAAGTTTCAAAACAATGTGAAGATACCTAAGATTTGTACACGGCAGATGTTTACCAATTCAATAAAGATAAACTACCTATATAAAGCAAGATATAGAATTCTGGAATAGCCTTCTAACTCCTTTCTGCCAATTTTGTATTCTCCTTTCAAAATCGTTCCAAAAAATCCATAAAGTCATTATTTCTATATTTAGACAAGTGCTTTCAAAAAAGAATTAACATCCGAAAGTGTATCCATAAAATACTGTTTACATATACTTTTCGCATCCTCTCATTTAGCTGTTTATTAAGATTGGCTATTCATGAATTATTCCACAATATCATAAAATTATGTTCCTAGCTAAGTAAGACACTGTATTTTAACTATAAGCCTTTTGTATGAGTAAGCAGTAAGGGCAGTTTTGAGTGAGCAATAAATGATAGCTAAGTGCTTTTCTTACAAGCAACTTAAAATACAGTAAGCTGTCCATATGTGTGGGTTTCTCATATATGGATCCAACCAACTTCAGAAAGAAAATATTTGTGGGACAAAAAAAAAAAAAAAACCCACATCTGTACTGAACATATACAGACTTGTTCTTGTCATTATTCCCTAAATATACCTTCTCAGTCTTTGACTAAAATCAAGTGTAGTACTCCTTAATTAATACAGTGTCAAAGCAACTCAGCATTTACATTGCACTAAATATTATAATATAGACGTTATTTAAAGTATGAGAGGATGCATGGAGTAAGCTGTACGGAAACGACACTCTTATATTATAAGGACATTATAATATAGACATTATTTAAAGTATGAGAGGATGCATGGAGTAAGCTGTACGGAAACGACACTCTTATATTATAAGGAACATAGGCACGTGCAGATTTTGGTATCTGCATGGCGTCCAAAGCAAAGCTCCCAAAAATACTGACAGACAACTGTATTCAAGTGGCATTAGATCTTAGAAGTGATTAAAAAGTCTCCTGGGCTGGTGGAGTGGCTCAGATGGCAGAGTGCCTGCTTAGCAAGCATGAGGCCCTGAGTTTAAACCCCAGTACAGCAAACAAATAAACAAAAACCAAAAAAACCTGTCTCCAACAAGAGAGTATATGAAAAACTATTTTTAAGTTATTTTACTGTCCTTATAATTGATTTACATTTGTTCTGCATATTGTCATTATACTTAACATTTATTATGTTTAATATATTGCTTTATTGCATTTACCAAACCAGACTCAAATCCACTATTAAGAAGTTGAGATACCACCCACATACCATAAGTTTTACCCTTTTAAAGTACACGTCAGTGACTTTAATATATTCAAAGTAACACAACTATCACCATTATTTTCATTAGCTCCCCAGAAGCCCTGTCTTAGCAGTTACTCTGGTCTCCCCTCTTCTCCCTGGCAACCATTAATCTACTTCCTGTCTATACAGGAACAGCAAACTTATTCTGTAAAGAACAAAATAGCCAGTATTTTAGGTTTTAAAGGTCATATGATTTTGTAGCAACCACACAACTGTATAGCAAGAAAGCAGGGTACATGAAAGTGAATGGATGGGACTGAATTAAAAACAAACAAAAAAAAACCTGTATTTACAAAACAGGCATCTGGCTGGACTTGGGGAGCCAGAATTGCCACTCCTAGTCTAGAGCAGAGCTATTCAGCAGAAATATAATGCAAACCACACATATATAATTGAACTTTTATAGCAGACACATTTTTGAAAGTTAAACTAGGTGACATTAATTTTAGTAATCTATTCAAGACAATATATCTAAAATAGTATCATTTCAACATGAAACCAATAAGAAACTATTAATAAGACAGTATAAAAAAGAAGTTAAACTAAGTCTTTGAAATCTTATGTGGTCTATGGCCATACCACCCTAAACATGCTTGATTTTGTCCAAAATCTGATGTATATTTTATACTCAATCACAATTGCAATTCAGATCAAGTAACATTTCAAATATTCAATATCCACGTGTGACAAGTGGCGTTATATTGAATAGTATAGGTCTAGAGGAACTATAACAAGCACCCTCATGTTACAGATAAGGAAACTGAGGCCATAAGGAGATTATATAAAATGTCTAAGATCATAGGGTTATTTACTAAGCGGTAGAACCAGGATTAAAGTCTAGTTCTGACTATACATCCTGCCCTCCCAAATATATACTGTCTCCCTAAATGTAACTCCAAATATAAATTTATTAATGTATTAGCTATGTGGCATTGGGCTAAAGGATTTTAAGCCCTTTCCTCCAACTGTCACATGGGACAAAAATTCCTACAAATCTCACATAAAGTTCTTTTAAGGATTTAAAGAAAATGTGAAGATCTTTTTCACTCTAGAGACAACCACTTTCATCCTACTGAAAATGTACTCCTTTCCTAATAAACTTTACTATCGTTTTTGCTAAAAATAAACAAACAAATAAATAAATGTGTATGTATATGAAAGCAGTCACAGGTGGTAGTACAGTCTGCAATCCCAGGCAGAGGCAGGATTGAGCTATAAATCAGCTTGTCTCATAAGCAAAACTGAAACAAACAAGCAAGCAAAGAAACCAGATTTTTTACTGTAAAGCAGTATTCATAAGATTTTTGAAAAGAGGGACATTGTGAGGAAAGGGTTACGTTCACACTCAAATGTACTCAGATTTGACTAACCATCTGCCAAAAAAGGATTAGCTTGAATTAGGCTTATTTACTATTAATAAGTTTCTACCAAAAAAAAATGCTTATACAGATAAGACTTAATAAGAAAATATCGATAGAACAACTGGCCAAAAAGGATATGAGGGAAAAAGACAAAAAAGAACAAATGCTGGCAAGGCAACAGTGTACGAGTTCCTTTTCTCCATGGTCTCACTAGCTGTTTGTTCTTTTTTGTCTTTCTCATGATAGCCATTCCAACTGGCTATTTAACCACATGAGCTCTCACTGTGGTATTTGCATTTCCCTGATTATACTGTTAGCTATTTGTGTATCTTCTTTTGAGAAAGACCTACTCAGATCATCTACCATTTTAAACTTGGATTATATATTATAATGTACTATAAAAAGTTTTAAGATTAATATGTAATACATAGTTATTTGCCTAAGCCATTTTACTGAAGTGAATGAAGCCTGTAGCACAACGTGCTGGATTTCCTGTTACTATAGTTCTTTTTTCCCTTATTTTTTGTTGGGTGATAAAAATAATGCTCAGCCACTAAAAACTGGGAGTGGTGGCACAAACCTCTCATCCCAGCTATGTGGGATGCATAAATAGAAGGACCGAAGCCTTTCCTGGCAAACACAAAGTCCTGAGTTAAAACCCCAGTACCTTGAAAAGAAAAACAAAAAAACCTTACCACATTATCCAGTAATTTTACACTATATATATATCCATAGGAAATGAAACAGTATATCAAAGAGATAACTACACATTCATGTTTACTGTGGCACTATTCATGATAGCCACGATATGGAATCAACTGAAATGTCCATACACAAATGGACACAAAAATTTGGTGTTTACAAACAGTAGAATATTATTCAACCATACAAAAAAGGTGAAATGCTATAATTAATGGCAACATGTATGAAACTGGAGGACACTACATTAAATGATACAAGCCATACACAAAAAGGCAAATACTGTTTGTTGTCACTCATTTGTAGAATTGTAAAAAGTTGGCAACACAGAAGTAGAGAGTAGAATAGAGGTCAGTGGAAGCTACGAAGGGTGGGGGAGATAGGAGTATATAGAGAGGATACATAATAGGTACAAAAATAAGAGTTAGGAGTAAGAAACAGTTCTGATGTTCTGTAGTACAGAAGGGTTAACTATAGTCTACAACCATTAATTATACACTTTAAAGTAACTAGAGGAAAAGTTTAAAGGTTCTTCACATATAGAAATGATAACACTTGAAGAGATAGAAATGCTCATTACCCCAATTTGATCATTACACCTTAAATACACATATCAGATTCTAATACTGTACTCCACAAAAAGTACAACTATATGACAATTACCTGGACTTTCCTTTTATGGTCTTCTTCATGCAACCAAGATATCTACTATGTACCAAATATTGTTTTAGGAGCTAAGTATGCAGAACTGAATAAAAGTGTACTGACAACTGTGCTATAATCTAACAGAAGAAGCATGTAAATGAGACATTAGGAAAAATTGTGTTTAAGGGCTTCCTTCCTAATGCTTACCTCCCAAAACATCTACACCAATCCATTAATTTTCATTCTTTAAAAAAAAAAGTGCATGATCGCTTCGGCAGCACATATACTAAAATTGGAATAATACAGAGAAGATTAGCATGGCCCCTGCGCAAAGATGACACGCAAATTCATGAAGCGCTCCATATTTAAAATAGAAAGTGCAGATATTTCCTACCACCCAT